CCTCAACATTTGCAAGGGTTAAGGGATCAAGAACCTTGCAAATGTTGAAAAATTGCGAATGTTTAGTACCCCAATATATTGTAGGGAAATATAATACAATACTGCTTCCTTAACCTATTGAACCATGAACAATCATAAAACACATGAAAACATTGTAAAATATTGTACTAGTGCCAGCCCTTTGGTAAAGAAGGTGAGAAAATCTATAGAATTCAAGAAAGAACTCGTAGCAAAGTACCAAAGTGGAGGAGGAAGAGAGAGGGGAGAATGTGCCTTCTTCAGTGATTCTCCGATATGTACGATACTAAAGCAGCATAAGTCGATAAAGGCTATAGCACCAGCCAGCGATAAAGTGTAGCATTAACAATGTAGCAAGTAAGTTAAGCGATTAATCGACAGAAAAAGGACAGCATGACCCTAACTCCTGCAGTGTTGTTGGAGTTATGCAGGGCGACTGACAACACTGCCGTCTCTAGTCTTTACTGCCTCTGATGCCGCCTCCGCCACCACTATGTATGGCTTATGCCTCAGAGGCCTTTATACATCCAACAACAACACAGCAACACTCGTGACATACTTAATGACATATTTTATTCATTCTAGATTATACGTCATGTTTTTATGTTATTAATATTGTTTATTATGTCATATTAGATGAATTGTGATAGATAAATAAGCCATAGAGTTGATATTAGTGTCATATTGAAGGACTATCTTGTCTTATCACCAAATAAACTCTACCACTGCCACAATTCCTAAGATATGTAATGACATATTTTAAATATGCTTGGGTGGCTAGGAATTCACAAATGTTTGAAGAATGTGAAAGTGGAAAATGCGAATGTTGAGGGAGACCTGTAATTATTTTATTTATTTTTATTAACACACTGACCGATTCCCACCAAGGCAGGGTGGCTCGAAAAAGAAAAACTTTCACCATCATTCACTCCATCACTGTCTTGCCAGAAGGGTGCTTTACACTACAATTTTTAAACTGCAACATTAACACCCCTCCTTCAGAGTGCAGGCACTGTACTTCCCATCTCCAGGACTCAAGTCCGGCCTGCCGGTTTCCCTGAATCCCTTCATAAATGTTACTTTGCTCACACTCCAACAGCACGTCAAGTATTAAAAACCATTTGTCTCCATTCACTCCTATCAAACACGCTCATGCATGCCTGCTGGAAGTCAAAGCCCCTCGCACACAAAACCTCCTTTCCCCCTCCCTCCAACCTTTCCTAGGCCGATCCCTACCCTGAATTCCTTCCACTACAGACTGATACACTCTTGAAGTCATTCTGTTTTGCTCCATTCTCTCTACATGTCCAAACCACCTCAACAACCCTTCCTCAGCCCTCTGGACAACAGTTTGGTAATCCCGCACTTCGTCCTAACTTCCAAACTACGAATTCTCTGCATTATATTCACACCACACATTGCCCTCAGACATGACATCTCCACTGCCTCCAGCCTTCTCCTCACTGCAACATTCATCACCCATGCTTCACACCCATATAAGAGCGTTGGTAAAACTATACTCTCACACATTCCCCTCTTTGCCTCCAAGGACAAAGTTCTTTGTCTCCACAGACTCCTAAGTGCACAGCTCACCTTTTTCCCCTCATCAATTCTGTGATTCACCTCATCTTTCATAGACCCATCCGCTGACACGTCCACTCCCAAATATCTGAATACATTCACCTCCTCCATACTCTCTCCCTCCAATCTGATATCCAATCTTTCATCACCTAATGTTTTTGTTATCCTCATAACCTTACTCTTTCCTGTATTCACTTTTAATTTTCTTCTTTTGCATACCCTACCAAATTCATCCACCAATCTCTGCAACTTCTCTTCAGAATCTCCCAAGAGCACAGTGTCATCAGCAAAGAGCAACTGTGACAACTCCCACTTTATGTATGATTCTTTATCTTTTAACTCCATGCCTCTTGCCAAGACCCTCGCATTTACTTCTCTTACAACCCCATCTATAAATATATTAAACAACCACGGTGACATTACACATCCTTGTCTAAGGCCTACTTTTACTGGGAAATAATCTCCCTCATTCCTACATACTCTAACTTGAGCCTCACTATCCTCGTAAAAACTCTTCACTGCTTTCAGTAACCTACCTACTACACCATACACCTGCAGCATCTGCCACATTGCCCCCCTATCCACCCTGTCATACGCCTTTTCCAAATCCATAAATGCCACAAAAACCTCTTTAGCCTTATCTAAATACTGTTCACTTATATGTTTCACTGTAAACACCTGGTCCACACACCCCCTACCTTTCCTAAAGCCTCCTTGTTCATCTGCTATCCTATTCTCCGTCTTACTCTTAATTCTTTCAATAATAACTCTACCATACACTTTACCAGGTATACTCAACAGACTTATCCCCCTATAATTTTTGCACTCTCTTTTGTCCCCTTTGCCTTTATACAAAGGAACTATGCATGCTCTCTGCCAATCCCTAGGTACCTTACCCTCTTCCATACATTTATTAAATAATTGCACCAACCACTCCGAAACTATATCCTCACCTGCTTTTAACATTTCTATCTTTTTCCCATCAATCCCGGCTGCCTTACCCCCTTTCATTTTACCTACTGCCTCACGAACTTCCCCACACCTCACAACTGGCTCTTCCTCACTCCTACAAGATGTTATTCCTCCTTGTCCTATACACGAAATCACAGCTTCTCTATCTTCATCAACATTTAACAATTCCTCAAAATATTCCCTCCATCTTCCCAATACCTCTAACTCTCCATTTAATAACTCTCCTCTCCTATTTTTAACTGACAAATCCATTTGTTCTCTAGGCTTCCTTAACTTGTTAATCTCACTCCAAAACTTTTCTTATTTTCAACAAAATTTGTTGATAACATCTCACCCACTCTCATTTGCTCTCTTTTTACATTGCTTCACCACTCTCTTAACCTCTCTCTTTTTCTCCATATACTCTTCCCTCCTTGCATCACTTCTACTTTGTAAAACTTCTCATATGCTAACTTTTTCTCCCTTACTACTCTCTTTACATCATCATTCCACCAATCGCTCCTCTTCCCTCCTGCACCCACTTTCCTGTAACCTTTTACTCTCAGTGTAGCTACAACTAGAAAGTGATCTGATATATCTGTGGCCCCTCTATAAACATGTACATCCTGAAGTCTACTCAACAGTCTTTTATCTACCAATACATAATCCAACAAACTACTGTCATTTCGCCCTACATCATATCTTGTATACTTATTTATCCTCTTTTTCTTAAAATATGTATTACCTATAACTAAACCCCTTTCTATACAAAGTTCAATCAAAGGGCTCCCATTATCATTTACACCTGGCACCCCAAACTTACCTACCACACCCTCTCTAAAAGATTTTCCTACTTTAGCATTTAGGTCCCCTACTACAAATACTTTCTCACTTGGTTCAAAGGTTCCTATGCATTCACTTAACATCTCCCAAAATCTCTCTCTCTCTTCTACATTCCTCTCTTCTCCAGGTGCATACACACTTATTATGACCCACTTTTCGTATCCAACCTTTACTTTAATCCACATAATTCTTGAATTTACACATTCATATTCTCTTTTCTCCTTCCATAACTGATCCTTCAACATTACTGCTACCCCTTCCTTTGCTCTAACTCTCTCAGATACTCCAGATTTAATCCCATTTATTTCCCCCCACCGAAACTCCCCTACCCCCTTCAGCTTTGTTTCGCTTATGGCCAGGACATCCAACTTCTTTTCACTCATAACATCAGCAATCATCTGTTTCTTGTCATCCACACTACATCCACACACATTCAAGCATCCCAGTTTTATAAAGTTTTTCTTCTCTTTTTTAGTAAATGTCTACAGGAGAAGGGGTTACTAGCCCATTGCTCCCGGCATTTTAGTCGCCTCATACAACATGCATGGCTTACAGAGGAAAGATTCTTTTCCACTTCCCCATGGATAATAGAAGAAATAAAGAAGAACAAGAAATGTTTAGAAAAAGGAGAAAAACCTAGATGTATGTATATATATATGCATGTGCGTGTCTGTGAAGTGTGACCAAAGTGTAAGTAGGAGTAGCAAGATATCCCTGTTATCTAGCATGTTTATGAGACAGAAAAAGAGACCAGCAATCCTACCATCATGCAAAACAGTTACAGGTTTCTGTTTCACAGTCATCTGGCAGAACGGTAGTACTTCCCTGGGTGGTTGCTGTCTACCAACCTACTACCTACCTAGTTCTAAAATATTTCCTTTTTCAATTTAGAAGACCTATTCTGAGATTTTGTAATGGAGCTATGGTTCTTAGAGCTATTAACAAGTATAACAGATACTGTATAATCAACCCCTGATATCAGGGACTAATAAAGGGAGTTGTCCCAGTATCTGTTAAATCAAATTAATGTTAAAAATATCAAAAAAACACTTAAAGTACTCTACTGTATATGGTCTCTCCTCACTTAGCGTCATACTTGTTTACCGATGACTCTGACTTATGACAGGCTCTCTGACCAGTGTGCATGCCTAAATAATGTATATTAAAGCTAATTTCCTCAATTCTGTTTATTACAATATACATACAGTACACTAATGTATAAACATTTAGAAATATACCAGAAATGTTATAAGTGGTGCAAAGGTGACATTAAAACAATATCAAAGATGGTTGACACAAACCAATTACCATTGTAGTATGCTCCTCACTTGCCAACGAATTCGTTTATCGACGTGGTCTTATGAACGGAACTCTGTTGTTAAGTGAGGAGAGGCAGTATATAATTTGAAGTTATATTGCAATAATTATTGAAAATGATGAAGTTAAAGAGTACAATTTTCCCATTAGATTATGCCCATTATTTTAAAAGTCCATTATATTAAGTACCATTATATTGAAGGTTATCTTGCATATTTTTTTCTGAGGGGGCAGTAAGTAAAACCCCCTCTCCCCCCCAAAAAAAAAATCCAACAGATATGTCAGTATGTATAATTTAGGAAAATATTGCAGGAAGTGTGTGCAGCATGAATATCAGCCATGAAAACAAAAGGACTTATGAGGAGTTTGAAAATTATGACACTGCTGCTGCGGAAAGAAACAAGGCTTCGTTTGGGGAGTCTTCCAGCACTTCGTCTGGATCTGCGCTGTCATCACTGGACCCAGGGACACATATAGAGATGTCGGCTGCTGTATCCGGTGTTGTTCCAGATGGTATGTTGAAACAGCAACCCAAAAATTATTGGTTTATTAATTGCATATACAGTTGACCATAGGATAATGCTGTAGTTACATTCCTGAAAACGGTGTGCATTCAAAAAGTTGTATAAACCCGAAGTGATTAACATATGGGGAAAATAAGGTTATGTTCATAAGAACCCCCCCCCCCAAAAAAAAAAAAAAAATTACAGGTCACAAAATTGTATAAAACCAATGATAATAATGTACAGTGGACCCTCGTTTATTGGCCATTCTGGATATCAGCCAATTCGGATTTTGACCGCTTTTTTGGCCGAAATTCTATCCTATGTTTTGGCCGTCATTTTGGAGATCGGCCATATTGGACGCATCCAACCACCACTCCGCCGCGTTCATGAGTCAATCTGGCTGTGTCTCTGGGTGAGTGAGGAAGGACAGGCTTCTTGCGGAGCCCAAGTTGGAGCATCTCCCTTCAGTGGGTGCCCACTCATGTTGGAATCTGGGGCATTGAAGTGGCAGATCGGGCGGCCTCCCTCGCGCACACACTTCCTACTATTACCCCTCTTGCCCTGGGCCACAGTGATTTCACAAGGGCTGTTTGGAAGGGAATCCGCCATCAGTGGCAAGAGGGCCTGGCACACTCCCTCTCTTCTTCGGCGTTGGACTCTGTCCGAACTTTTAATGGCCCCTGCCCTTGGGCTCACCATCCCAACTGCTTGGTGGACGTTGCACTGACTCGCCTTCGAGTTGGGCACTTGCGACTGGCGGCTCATCTGTACCACCTTCGGATGACGGACTCTCCGTACTGCCCGTGGTGTCCCTCACAACCTGAGACGGTGGAACACTTCCTGCTGTGATGCCCACACTATCACTCTGCATGGACTACTCTCCATGTGGCCTTGCGCACGCTTGGGGTGCACACTTTCACTCTACCTGTCCTTCTCAACAGGGAGGGGTTTCGCCATCTGGACTGTCAGGAGATATTGGCCTGTACCTGCTCCTTCCTGCTGGCTTCAGGGCATATCAGGGACATATGATACATAGTTATTAGTCAAAACATTCTTCCACTTTGGTCGAAATCCCCTCTCCTAGCACTGGACGGCCGGGCTCGATACGCGTATGCTGTCAGTGGCCCTGAAACCCAACAGAAGAAGAAGAAAGGTTGTGTACATTATGTAAGCTTTCCCCATAAGACAATGGACTCTTCTCTGAGGCTCACTGTAAAGCAGAGGGAAAAGACCGCTGCTCATGCCATATTTTCCCCTACGTGTACTCCACCATATAACCAATTTTTTATGAGTTGGTAACCAAAAATATGCCACAGTTTTGCAACTGTGTTAACAGATCATGTAACATTTATGAAGGAATTCAAGGGAAACCTGTTAACCAGACTTGAGTCCTGGATGTGGGAAATTGCATGCATTTTGAAGTAGGGTTGGGAATATTGTAGCTTGGAAGGGCAAAGACTGGCAAGACTGATCGTGAGATATAGTGAAAGTGTTTCTTCTTTTTCAGGTCATCCTACCTTGGTGGGAGGCTGCTGTGTTAAAAAAAACTTGGGTTCATAAAATTTAAAAACTTTGTGTGATAATAGACACCTTGAGTTTAAATTAAATTTTAATAACAATAACATTTATATTTTAGCATGATACATGTTTGTACAAAGGAGTGTAACAATTTGGTGAACATGCCAGAAGCCCCTTTATATGCAGAGCATTTCAGGCAAACTAAAGACTAACTTATGATTAATAAGGTAATAACAGTGCTGTAATTGTACATATGGTTATTAGGTGAGTTACAGTGAATACAAGAAAATTGAATATTCAACTAGTTCATGCTATATGGCTTTAATAAGTTCGGTAGAGAAGAATTGCAGTTTTGATATACAGTAGGAGCCTGCTTTACTGCATTCCGCTAATACAGACATTTCAGATTATGACTAAAACTTGCTATATGGCTCCCCCACCTGTCTTTCTAATACGGTCATTGCGCCCCACCTGGTTTGCTTACATGCTCTGTGAGCACATCTCTCTGTTATGTCTGGAAACTTTCCAAAATTTCAAGTGTTTTAAGGTTATTGCATACAGCCTTTCCTCACTTAATGATGGAGTTAGGGGAGACCCCGTCAGTAAACGATTTCATCACTAATCGAGGAATCACCCCTTACTGACACTTCAAAAGTGTCATCCCCCAAAATTAAAACATTCAGTTTTATGTTTGCTGAGAAATTCCTTTCAATTTGTTCATTATTAACAGTAATACAACACGAAATAGGTCAGTGACTTCCGAGGTATTCCAGGAAATGTGTGCATAGCTGATTGCTTGGAAATTTGTTTTTTTCGAGAAAATTGCAATTTTTTTCAGTCTATGCATAGGGTAAGAGTGATCTTCTATAGTTACCCTTCAGGTGCATAATGCTTTCTGTTATGGTCACTGTCACTTTTTTTTCTTTTTTTATCCCTCCCGGCCCTTCACCCTTCAGTACCTTTCTATATACATGTAATGTCAATTTTCATTAATTTGGGTGTCTTTATCATGCTTCTACATTATTTATGTTATACCTAATATTATTCTGGAATAAATATGACAGGTAGATAAGCTTTATTGATAATAATAGTATAATTAAATAATATTTTATAGTGTCATGAGCTTACACATCGGTACATCATGGTGAAGCATTAGTTACTGAAAGACATTGCTGGCGCCTTCTCCCTCTCTCTTGTATAGCCCCGCACACCCTCCAATACCTCTCCATATATGTCAGTTTTTATTAATTTGGGCATCTTTATCATGCTTCCGCTGCCTAGTTATTATGGCTTGAAATCCTGTCAATGCTTTCACTGCCTTTTTCACTAATTCTTTATCCTTCAAGATAGCGGGAATGGTAGAATGCACCAGCTTGTGGTCATCAGCTATCACTTGCACTTCTCATACTCTTCATACTCGTTTATAATCTTCATTTTCACCTCAAGATTGAGAGCCTTCGTTTGTTTCTTGGCGCTTCCTTGAAGTGAAGTCAAGATCTTCCTTTTTACCAACATCTTGTAATTTGGGATGCACAATAAAGTGCAAATTTGTACAAATATGTAGTCTTGGAGACAGTGAAAGCTAGTGCACTCAGTGACTGTAGGAAGCAGACTGAGAAACGTACTTGATGCTGAGATGCCGCGTTACCTGTTTCCATGACCCAAGTTCTCGTATGGCATAAAATCCTAATAATAATGATAAAACACTACTACTAATAATAATAATCATAAAAATAATAAATAATTGCTCTGAAGTAGTTTAACCCTTTGACTGTCACGGCCGTATATATACGTCTTACGAGGTACTGTGTTTGACGTATATATACTCATAAATTCTAGTGGCTTCAAATCAAGGAGGAGAAAGCTGGTAGGCCCACATGTGAGAGAATGGGTCTGTGTGGTCAGTGTGCATCATATAAAAAAATCCTGGAGCACGCAGTGCATAATGAGAAAAAAAAATCCAACCATTTTTTTTTAATTAAAATGCCAACTTTGTGGTCTATTTTCGTATAGTATTTATGGTTGCATTCTCGTTTTCTTGGCCTCATTTGATAGAATGGAAAACATATTATAGAAATAGAGGTAATTTTGATTGATTTTACTATAAAAAGAACCTGGAAATGGAGCTCAAAGTAGGGGAAATGTTTAATTTTTGCATATGTTCAAAAGTAAACAAATGATGTCATTGTCCAATAAATGTCCAACTAGCCATTCTAATATGCAGTCATGAATAGGTTGATGTTATTTATACAATTATTACAGTATTGCAGTAGTCTGCATAATAGTAAATCTTCTATTTTTTGTTTGAATAAAAATTCAAAATAGAAAGCAAGAGTAATATCAGAGGGGCCTGGAGACAAGACTGATGAACAAAGAAAATGCTATTTTAGAGCCAGGAATGTCTGCATTGTTCATTCTGGACCTTATTTTGAAATGGTCATATTTTTTAATTTTTGTGAAATTGGCCAAATTGCAAATTTCTGACCACATTATTGGGTAGTTGAAATGGTAAATGGGCAGTTTCTTGTACTCAATTGATAGAAAAAATGGAGTTCTAAAGAAATAGCTATGGATTTGGTCGACTGAAACAATGGAATTAGCAGAAAATAGGGCTCAAAGTGGGCGAAATCGCCAATTTGTAAATATCGCCGAGGTTGCTAACTTTGTGAGAGCGTAATTCCGTCACTGTTCCATCAAATTTTTTTTTTTTTTTTTTGGTATCATTACAATTGGGAAAAGATTCTCTATCATTTCATAAGATTTTTTTTTTTTTTTTTTTTTTTGAAATTTTGCGACACCAGGAGACACCTCAGGATTGGGGGTTACGGCAGTCAAGGGGTTAAATGTCATACAGATTTTGTACAGGTTTGGTAGCTGACATTTAAACCACTCCAGAGTGATTATTATTTATTTATTTATTTTTTATTTGGGCATGATACATAGTTGCACAAAGAAATATAGTGATTGGGTGTACATGCCAAAAGCCCCTTGTATGCAGAGCATTATGGGCAGGCTTAAAATTAACTTAAGATTAACTAAGCAATGATATATTCAGTGGTAAGAATTACAGTAAACAAATTACAACATGAAGTACAAATGAGTATTTCAGATAAGAAGCATTAAAGTTGTACAAATTTGTAGCATAACAATGTATAATATAATTTATTTATTTATTTATTTATTTATTTTATGTCTTTGCAAACAGTACATTGAGATTTTATATTTACAATAGTGGGTTGCAATGCAAAGAGAACCTCTATTATGCCTAGGCATTATGGGTCAACTTAACATTATTGGCTTACAGTCTACTTAACACTAAGGATTATATCATAGTTGTACAGTAGGACAGTAATTATTTCATAGTTGTGCAGTAGATTATTAATTATAAGATAAGATAAGATTTCGTTCGGATTTTTAACCCCGGAGGGTTAGCCACCCAGGATAACCCAAGGAAGTCAGTGCATCATCGAGGACTGTCTAGCTTATTTC